TGGTAAGGTAGCACAGCAAAAGACAACAGCGGAACTCTACACACAGTTAGGGCTATACTGCCACCGAGGAGCTTGAGGTTTCCACCTCAAATGGAAGCAGCTCAATTTTAATTCTGCTTAGTGCACAACCTCATACCATAAACACATCCCCACGTTTCTCTTCAGTCCTCTGAATTTCTTGACAGTTGATCCAGACTGCTGGTTTTCGGAAGCGTTCTTGGGTACTTCTAACCCTAACTATTTCACACTTCTAGTGCTAGTGCTCCTCCCTCTCCCACCGCTTTGCCTCCAAAACCCCTTAATTCACAAACTCCCCGAGAAATCTTGCATTTAAGGGACACATGCGATGGCAGTAAAATAAAGACGACAGCCTGTCAAAATTAGGTCTTTGGAGGTTGAAATCACTGTCTACAACTAACTTTGAACTACTATAAAATTGTTTATTTTCTAAAATCTATACTTTAATGAACAAAATGAAGCTAAAGTCTCAGTTAACAGTCACATTCTAATCCAGTTCGGCATAGAAATGATCAATTCAAAGGGAAAAGAACACTCAATGGATTTTTTTCTTTAAATAGAAATTCTCAATAGGAATATTTTTATTTACTTGAAAAATACAAAACATAAGCAGAATGAACCAGAAGAAAATGAGAGCAGTTGGCTCTTTGAAACTACAGAAATAAGAGCATGGGCTTTTAAACCCTTCTGAAGGGTCAATAATCAGGAATTGATTTTTTCTTTTTCAGCTATAGCTTAATTCAACAATAATATTTCTTGAAAACTCTTGTGCAACACAATTCACTAACATGTACTCTGCCTGACTTAAACGTGGAAGCAGGTGCCTGTTAATATGGCAAATACCTGTAAATACTACCATATGCAATTACCGGAATGCCTATTTAATTTGCTCACGTAAGTGACAGTACATAAAAAGAACTCACTGCTAATTAAAACTCGGTGTGATCTTTTTAAGCAAGAAAAAATATGTTTTAAGAACTATGCCCCAGACTTTTTTAAACCAAATACAAATTAAGATTCCCTAACAACTAGGCTATTTCAATCACCTGCAGGCCAGAGTGGATTTAGACTTATATAACCAACCAATTAATACAGATGCTCTTTCACATTAGGTACTCATACTAAAATAAACTCTTTTGATCCAATCTCTCCTTCACTAAAATCTCTAAAGGCCCCTACAGTGATCTCCACCCATATATGAATTTCATTATTAATACAATTTGCACTTAACCTACATTTATGCAAGGTATGTTACAGAGTAAGTCTTTCACAAAATTTATACATTCCATGATATATTTAAAGTGGTCCAACTAAAGTATCTGTAATACCAAGAGACAAAACCCTAACAGCATCACAGTACACATTATGTACTGTATCAATTATACCAATATAATGACCCAAGAAACATTTTAAGAAGTAATTTCAATAAAATATGACCACACGCCAATCAATTATTTCTACATCCCAGGCATTCCACACTAAATTGACACACCTGAATACACACACTACTTTTTTTTTTACTAAAACAGTCGTAATAAAGTACAAGTGTTAAAAATGAAAAAGATACTTATCATAAAGCTAAAAATAAGTATGTAAAATAACCTAAAGCAAATCTCTTTTAACATGAAAGCCAAAAAGACAATGAAACACTCACTGCCAGAAGCTTTGGAAGGAGAGGAAAAACAAAAGGTAGGAAGTTAATCAACTATCCTTTAAAAAGGGGGGTAATCACAGCCAAAACAAAATCTCTTCCTTATGCCTCTTTTTGGAGAAAACATTTAGCACGGCATTAATAGGGAAAAATAAAGGGGGGGGTGGACAGAATTTGCTTCGCTCATCCTGTGTTTGTACAGGTCTTCAATTTCATTACGTTAATAAAATTGGACACGGATGCAATTAATACTGACAGATGTTTAAAATCTACATAAATGTTCAGAGCTTTATAAATCAAAGCCCTCTGCCCTCCACAGGACTGAGTTTACAAAGTCATCTTGTACCATTCCTTCTCTTCAACAATCTTACCCTTCACAAGATGGTCAACCTTTTAACACTCAAATTTCAACATAGTCCAAATAAAAGCTCTAATTCTACCTAAAGCCACTTTCTCCTCTGCCTCCCTTCAGCAACTTCACCATTAATGCTTCAGTGCAAAAATGTGTTTTCACGGAGGTTGTAGGTTTTTGCTAAATTTGTTGAATTTTAGTATTTAAAAATCATATTCAGCTAGTAGGGCTAGTTTATTTTACTTTAAGAATGTATGTGAATATCCCCATGCTTTCTCTTGTTTTCGTATCAATGAACTTAATCCTTACAAAGAAAATATCTGACTATACTCCACCACAACAGTCACAATTTTACAAATAAATGTGAACTGGATGCTAATGTACGTTGACAAATCCATAGGGGTTGCCTTCCCTGGCAAAACAGAGTGTAAAGTGTTTTGGTTTTTTAGCATTTTGAGAAAAAGCAATTTTAGGTGACAGCTTAAAAAGTCAAATTACAATTTATTTTTAATTAAACAAGGACTGCAAGTGAAGTTATTAGTGGCACAGAGTATTCTCAAGTCAGAAAGTCAGTATTCACTATGTGTTGTGGTCTGAACATGTTGATCACTTGGGTCACTGCTCATAGCTATTGTCTGAGGAGAACCACGGAACATATAGAGAAGAGAAAGCAACCAATTTTAGTTATATCAGGGCCCTTGTGTGGAAACAATAGACTGATTCAATGCTGGTTAGAAAAGAAACATTGTTTCAATTTACTTGGAAGCAGCTTTGTTCTGGGTAATCACAGTTCCCCATGTTAAGTTAATGCCATAAGGTATGAAATTTTCAAACATTAGCACTTATCCTGTATAAGATATTACACCTTTTCATTAGCACACAAACTACTGGTTATAATTAAAATCACACATCAGCATTAAATTAATCATTTCATTGGATATTAAATAATCTCTGAAGAGCCACATCATCACTGCTTTGCCTATCACCATAAGGTTGTTATAAGGCTCAAATTAAAAGTGAAGACACTTTATATGTAATAAATTCCTATGAAAGGCATTGAGGTTATCTTTAATGATTTAAGAGTATCTATGTTCATCTAAGACTTATGCCCCAGATCCCAGATTTTACAAGGCTTAATCAAAGTTCACCATGAATGAAAAATGGTTAAGTCTTGTTCTACGCCTTTTTTCTTTTTCTATAGTAAGAAAAATGAAAACAGTATTATGGTGATTATTAGAACAAAATGCATTAATAATCCCCAAAGAGTTTCCTAGGATGTATTATGTTTTGTACAATTACATGTTTTATAAATTAGTGTAATAGTTTCCTACAGATAGCTCAGTCCAATCAACTGCACTTACTCTTCAGGACAAGCACACCGAATCATTAATTCCACTGCCAAAATTTTGGGATTGAAAATTTAAAACACAGCATTTCTTTTAACATTTAAACACTACAGGGTAAGAAACACCTCAAATCTCATTACTGAAAACATTTTAAGTCTTCCATTCAGAATGACAACAATGAAAAGTTAAAGTAATGTTCTAAATAAAATATTATTATTATTTAAATAGATTACTAGATAGTTTACATGAAGATATACAAGAACCAAGGTCTTTTCTTTTGATAAGAAATGAGCCTTTTAAAGGAATAGAACATAGCCTAAACCTAAGTCTGAATGTTTTCTCCACAGGAAAACCCTCCTTAAAGAGGATAGAAAAGAGACACATCAGTGTTAGGATCGATCTTTAGAAGAAAAAGGATCTTAAAAAGAGTTTTAAATAAAATCTTCACTGACTAATTATTAGGAAAAATGAATACCACTAACATTAAAAAAACAAACCAACCCCCCCCACAGAAAAGCTCATGTACAGATAAATCACTGTGTACTACTAAGCCTTTTCAAAACAAAAAAACAAAACAAAAAAAACACCCAAAAACAACAACAAAAAAACACCCACAACAACTGATTAAGCAATCTTGTGTCTCTGCAATCACTTTTTTTTGTACTTCCTTCACATCACTGAAAATGTAATACAAAACTCAGTATTTATCTGACTTGGGGGCAGGGGGACAGGGGTAGAAGGTAGAAAACTTAACCTCTATCAACAGATACACCTAAATTTAGAATCTTTTCCTGGTAATTCCATTTTAACAGACTGTTTTCAGATCAAATGAAAATGTCACTATACGTATAAATGACTGAGAAAAAAGAAGAGAAATCAAATGACAGTTGAGAATCAAAGCTTGACAATGTTGGCCACCACATATCGATTTGAGAACTTGTAGGAACTTTTCAAAGTTAGATTTTGTTTTGTACCCTGTTGCCACCAGTTCCTTTCTTAACAAGACTGAAGAGCAGACACAACCATGTACTTTAGGTTGGAAACCCAGCGGGCAAGTCCCATGTCTAAGGCTATGGTCAGGTCCACTGCTCACTGCATTGCTTTAGCAATCTCAAAACTCAAAGTCTGCCATAGATGGTTCAGTGTGAAGAAAAGGCTCATTGTCACATCGTCCATTTTTAACCCTTTGACCTCCTCAAGCTAACATCTCACAAGAGTATGAATACAGCACACACTTTTGCTAACATTAAGTATGAACGGTACTTTTCACTTTAACATAAAAGCGTATTTTAAAAACACAGTAATGGACACACACAATTAATTATTAGACATGAAACTCCCTTGAATTTATATAATTTTTACTCAAAATACCTGTTAACGAGCAACATTATTTTGAATTTTTAAATAAAATGTGCAACTACAGGCCAATAGGATACTGAATGCCATTCTTTCAGAGAAAACTTGAAATGCTTATGTACAGATAAATCACTTGGGTATCTTTCAATCATGCCTACTTTTCAAAGGACTTAGTAAACTTAGTAACACGAAAAAGGCACATACAAATCACTGAATATTTAAGTCTATCAAGACATTTCATATCCATTCTTAAGAAACAGAAAATCATTCTTCTTACCTTGAATAGCCATTAGAAAAAACTGATCGACCCGGGAAGTTCAAAGTCCCCAAGGAAGCCAAGTTGTCATCTCCAGATCCTTGGCACCTATTCCAATTTTCTGAACCAACAGGAATTGGTGGAATGACATTAAAAATAGGCTTCTGATCCTGTTGTTGAGAAACGGATGCTGTATTCATGTCATAGTGGTACATCTGTCCCCCAGAGGTACTCACACCATGAACAGAAATGGCAGACATTTTATTACCAATTATATTTGCCCCAGAAAAGCTTCCCTGACAGTAAACTGGGCCCAGTTTCTCCTGCTTAATTACCCCAGGGGTGCAGAGTTCAATGAAATCTTCTTTTTCTGTTTTCACTTGGGGCAGTGGCACACTGTTGGGGCTTGATAAGATCAGTTCTCCATTATCCTTAATTTTAGGTTTAGTGTCCGGTAAAACAAGAGGCTTACAGTCCTCATTCGAGTTTCCTTCCAAAAGGAATGGATCATCCTCTCCTGCCAAAGGAGAAAGCAAACAGTTTTCATCTATCAAGAGGTCTGATTTCCAAGGGCTCTCACTTGCCTCATCCTCTGGGGACCCAGAAGAGAACTCCAAATCCTGTATTTTTTTCCTCCAAATGTCAAAGGTGCTTTGGTCTGTGGTACACAACTTCACATTGCCCCCATTGGAGCCAGTCTGGCCTTTCAAATTTTGCTGGTCTGAAGACACATCAGAGAGAGTTTTTGAAAACTCCCTCTCCATGGGGACAGCGGAAACAGCAGCGGACGCTGAGCTCTTGGGGTTCTCTGGAACACTGGTGGACCTGTTGAGGTTTGCGATGCTTTCTTCCAGAAGCCGAAAGTCTGTTTCCCCAGAGGAAAGGCTGATTTGGCCCTGCTGTGGGAATCCCAGGTCATTTCCCATCACTTTTGTTTCTGTCTCTCCCATATACAATCCCATTGAGAGTGAAACTGCCTTGGACAGATCTGGCTGCTGTGCATTGCTTCCTGGGCCTTTTGGAAAATCAACCAAAAGTCTTTGCTGCTTGGAGTCTGACTGAGAAGCAGCAGCCAGTGAGGGTGAAGATGCAGACACCTTCACAGTAGCTCCTCCCCTTAGGGTTTTATAGAAGTCCATCACATTTCCCCTCTCCCGACCAAGAACACTGCTAGAGATTTCTTCTTTACTGGGGGGACTTAGTGATTCCTTGGAGTCCATCAGAGATTATCATCAGCTACCAGGTTGGGGGAGGGGAAGAAAAGAAAAAAGAAGGGGAAAAATATAAGCTATAAAGTCACATTATCTCAGTGATCTGATTAGTAAGAGCCTGTTAAATGAACCTCTTAGTTAACCCTGAATCTAATTCCTTGTTATCAGAAAAGTAGTTTCTCTTCCAGAATAAAAAACTCATGTCCCCTGCTCTCATTCAGTGTGCCACATTTAAAAGAACAATGCAGTTCAATTGCACAGCTGAGGGCAAAATTGTATCAAACTAAGGTTGGCTATTCATCTTGCCACTCACAGAACTGTAACTTTGTTAATCACAGACATTATAATTCATTACATCTGATTATTCTAAAGGTTCAAATTGATGTCAAAGTATTTCATTTAAAAAGAGCATGATCATTACAATTCCTACTTCCTTTCAATCAGTCAAGGCTGTTTGCTTTTCTGAGAACCCATACACATAAAATCTGATAAATACTATGATAGAATTTGCTCTCAAACTGCTCACAAACTGCCCTCCTACCTGCTAGTCACACAATCTATTGGTAAACCATGCACATTTTACTTGAAAAATAAGCAATGATGATTTTCCAATAAACTGAGAAAGACTCTTATTTTTAACCCCCGTTTCTTACTCAATGTGTCAGTTTCAAAGTGTCTGCCTTCAAATTTTGGACATAGCAAATGAAATGCGTTGTATATAGGCCAACTAAATTTTGGATTTTATCAAGTAGAATGTGCAGTAGCTTCTCACTACAATTTCAGCTTATTTAAATACAACAAATACAGTTCTCTCAAACCTTACAACATAGTAAGACCTAAATGAAGCTACATTTTTCAAATCGCTTAAGACCCTCAGTATGAGATACTATTATATCTTTAAATCAAGATTTTTTCTTTTCCAAATAACGAGGTACTAGAAACAGGAAAACCCCACAACTGTAAAATCAAGTTCATATACACCCAGGTAAAAGAAGAGCCAATAAAATTGCTCAGAATAATTTTCTCTGTATTGTAAACCTTCACCAATCCCCACTCGAGGCTGTTCTTGAGAGTATTAGGTTGGTAGTATACGGTTTATAATCAGGATGCTCTAAGAGGTAAGAGAAAGCTTTGATAAGCACATTTGGGACATCATCGTCAAACCCTATCCAATTAAAGGAAACTTCTGCGCACTGAGACCTTCCGAGGCATAAACTTCACTGGCCCTCACGGAACGTGGAGTGCGATTAAGGAAGAGAGAAGGCTGACGACCTGCTTCTACACTCTTGAGGGTAAACTGCTCATCTCCCCGCCGCTCCGCCGTGTTTATCTGATAAAGATCTCTAAACACAAGGTATCAAATGGAGTCTAATGAATTTCCACGCCGCTTTGACAGCTGCCCTCAAACTCGAAACCAAAACAGTATTTCATAAAACGAAACGATCCCTCCAACGACTTTAGCTCCCAGTTTAAATTGCAAATAACTGTCACATTAATGGGCATTAATGAACCCTGCCAAAGGGTCTTAAGCGGTATTACAAGGCGGCAGTTACCCAGCTTGCTGCCCGAAACGTCAAACTAGCGCCAGAGAAAAAACGCACCACAGAACTATTGTGGCGAGGGAAGGTCTTTTTCTACAAGGGGCCACTCAGGAGCGGCAGGCGCGCAACGATGCCAAGCGCTGAAGAACCCTCTCCCCGGGGAGAAAAAAGTGCAAGGGTAAAAAGAGAAATGTGTCCAGACCTGTTGAGTTCTTTCTCCGACACGCCCACTTCTACCAGATAACGCCAGCCCTGGCCGAAGTCTCCAAGTTGCGGGCTGTCAGCCCCTGCGTGTGTACACTCACTCACTCTCACACAACACACACACGCGCGCGCGCACACACATACTCCCTGCGCGCCTGCCAGGAAGGAGACGCGCTGGAGCCTCGACAGAAACCCTGATCGCGCTTGGAAGCACTAGGGTGGAGTGGAAATATTCGGCCCAGTAGAATTCAAACGCGGCTCGGCGTTCACCATAAAACGGGTGTTTGGGCGGCCTCCCGGGAGGGCACAGAACAGGGTATTTGGGGGGATCTGCAGAAGCCGGAATTCCGCGCCAGGGAACCAGAGGACGGAAAGCCGGGGCAGCTCAAAGAGCCTCCACTCGCAGAGAGCTCAGGTTCCTCCCCCCTCAGCCCGACCCGGGGACGGCCGCCGAGGGAGAGGAAGAAGCCTGCGCTGTCACCCGCGCGCTGCCCTTTCGTCACTATCACCCCGGCCCCACCAGCCCCCACCCCCATTCCCGGAGGCTAATAAAAGTTTGCAGGCTCCCGGGGCGGCCCGGCGTCCCCCACCCGCACCTCAGGAGAGCGAGCGCCCCTGCGGGCCCCGGCCCCCGGCCCTCCCCACCTCTTACCTCTGGCAGGGGCGCCGATCACCCGCCACCGTCCGCAGCTCCCACCGCAGCCGAGATAAACAACTTAACGTGTGAAAACAGGAGCAGCAGAAGGGAGATATTTTTTTTTTTTTCTAAAAAAAGGAAGTAAACAGCCGCCCCCTTCGCCATGGGGGTGGGGAGGGGAGAGCCCCTATTTGAGAAAGTCTCCCATTCCCCAGCTGACAAGCCAGCCCTCCCGCTCCGCGCAGATCCCCGCGAGCCCGGGATCTCAGGCGCGCGTCCTCCGTCCCGGCGCCCCGCCGCTTCGGCCGCTCCGGGTGCGGCGTCTCCTTCCACCCACCAGAATCCGTCCCCGACGGGCGGGCGGTGACTCGGGCTCCAGTCACAGACTCGAGCTCGCAAAATGGAGGAGGAGGAGGAGGAGGAAGAGGAGGAGGAGGAGGGGAGGGAGCGCGGACACGCGAAAGGGCCGCCCGACCGCGCCAAGCGAGCGGGACCGATGGGGAGGGGGGGGTGGGCGGAGGCGGCGCCACGGGTCGCACACACTCGCACACACACGCGCTCCCACTCCACCCCCGGCCGCTCCCCGCCGGGGAACGGTGCAACCTGTTGGCGACGCTCGGCAACTGCAGGGGCGGCCGCAGCCCCCGCCCCCACGCCCTCCGTGGGGGCCCCGCCACCCCGGTCCCGAAGGCGCCTCCACGCCCCCGGCATGGCCCGGGAAGTGGCTGCCGGCCGCCGCCCCCCGAGCGCGCGGGACTTCCAGCCCCCCACCCCCCGGCAAAGAGAGGCGGCGGCAGTTGGGGGCCGACCTGGTCTCTCTAGGGCGGGCTTGGGAGCGAAGCCGAGTTTCTCTAGTTTTGTCTTCTTGCTGCCTCCTTCCCGCCCCCGCCCAGCTCCGCGACTCCCGACCCACTCTGGAGCTGGCTCGGTCCCTCGGCGGCGACCGCCGTCAGCGCCCCTGCGGGTGACAGCGGGCTGTCCGGCGGGTGGAGGGGGCGAGGCGCGGCCCGCAGCAGCGCTGCGGGGGTGGCCCGTGTCGCCGCCCCGGAGCCAAGTTGCACGAAGTGTGTCACTTAGCGCGGGGCTACTAGGGTTGCACGGAAACGGTGCCGCAGCGTGTCCGCCGCTCTCGGGGCCGGACCGCCAGACACGCCCTCTGGGGAGGCTTATGGAGGGGAGGGCAGAAGAGGGGGTCGACGCATACGTACTCTTGGCCCTGGGGGAGTCCCTTGCCCACAGGTCCCCCACCACCGCATCGTCTGGGCGGCCGCCGCCGCGCTCTCCCACCGGGAGAGAAGTTGCAAAGCAAACCCACCCTCCCCCGCGCTCCGACCGTCCCCCACCCTTCTCCCCGAGTCTGCGAGGCGGCGGCGGCGGCAGAAGGAGGCGCCGCCTGCCAAGTTCAACCCCCACCCTCCCTCCCCGCTAGCGCGCTCACACTTGAAGGAAGTTGCATGCCAAATGCAAAACCTCCGGCGAGCTGAATTTCTGTGCACTTTTTTATTATTATTTTTAAGGAAAGCAGGGGGTGGCAGGCCGAAAATCAAGTTGCAGGCGAAACAGTAAGTTGCTTGCAAAGTACGCCCTCCTTCCCCCGCAAACTCCTGACCTCTCCTTCCACCCCCTCCAGGGCCCAGGTCCAAGTTTCCCGTGGAGGCCCCTCACCGAATCTTGACATTTGCTGCACTCCACTCAATGGGTCGCCCACCCTTTCGTGTATGCGGGACCCTTGTCCCTCCAAACGAAACAAAACACACGCAGCTTTAAAATGTCAGCCTTTAACTCCCTCCAGCTGTTCCCGTTACGCGCCTCCCCCTCAGTCCGAGGGAAACACGTGGCCTGTCCCCAAGGAGAGGGGCGTGGGGCCGGGGGAGTCCGCGCGGGAGACGCCCGCCCCAGCCCCTAAGCCCAGCTTGCCGCGTCCAGAGGGCTTGGGCTTTGCCTGGAATGAGCCTCCTACCTTGTGCGACACTTAGTATGATTTTTGTGACTCGGGGAAAGGTTGTGCTGTATTGCTTTAGGGTTTGGGGCGGTAACTTTTGCGCCCCCACAGGTGACGGCGCTTGCCAGCTCATGACGGGGGCGGAGGCTGCCGCAGCTCCACCTAGTCCCTGCCGGGGCGCTCAGCGGCAGCCACTCACTCCTCAGGCAGTACTCAGACGCTAGCAGCGGCCGCCTCTGCTCTGACATCTTGAAGAGGATTGGGGAAGCGCATGCCGGAAGCCACCTGCCGCCATGTTGGTAAAGGAGCGTGACGCCAGCCGGGTCTCGCGTCCACCATCTTGCTAAAGGTTCTCCATCACATGGGGAGCCGAAGTAGCCCTTCCTCGATTCGGAAGGATGGACGCTGCTCCCCTGGGTTGTCTGATGTGAAAGGAGAGAACTAAGCATTTTAGTTACCCACATGTTGGGAAGCGATCTGCTCAGGCCGTGTCCATACGATTCTAGGGCCGCCATCTTGGCAAAGGAAGAGCGGCTCTCCGCCTTCTAAAAGGGAACCAAAAGCTCTTCTAAGTAGACCCCTCAGCCCACAGATTTTTGTGAAAGGCGCTGAGCAACCCAGTTGTTAACGCAACCTCTTTCTGGATCCAGAAGAGGTGGTTCCCCTTTTCCTTTCCCTTGGCACTAGTCAACTAGAGGGAGACTCTTGCCGTGGGTGCTCATAGCAGACACCCACGGTTTACTTCAAAGAGCACCACTTTGCCTGCTAGACATTTTTTCCACCTTAGAAGCCTCAATTACTAAAATCAGATATCTTGCGTGGGTCCCCACCAATAGTTTCATGGGGGGAAAAGAATCAAGAACCAAACTTAATATAGTATGTGTGTTTCAGAAGTGCATGAAATAACTCATGCCAATATGATTATCCTTCTATGTCTGCTTAAAAGTAATACTAGGAATTATTATATGTATGAATACCCTATAAAATGTAATTTGTGTATGTTTGTATGTTTGTATAATTTGTATGTAAAGGGACAGTAACAGTTGTCTAATAGACTGCTTCTCCCTATACCATAAACCTATTTCATAATTGAACCTCTGCTGTAAGAGAGGAATCCACCTCATCTCTTACCTCTTTAAATTTAGGTTGCATATTCCGTTTTTAAATAATACCTGGTTTTACAAGAGTTCCCCATTAACTTTATTGACACTCATTTTGTCGGCAAGTCCAGCAATCTTCTTGAAAAGGAAAAAGACTCACCTTGGTTTTCAATTAATTGCTGTTGAAAACACTTTCATTGGGTAGAAGGCTGTTATTTTCAGTGGTTTACATTTGTTAATTTTTTAATTTGATAGAAAAAAAACTTCATTCTTTAGTCTGTCACATTCATCTGAACGCACACATAGACTGAGATTAATCCAGTCTATTTTTCAGAGTTAGAATTGTTAGGCTTTATGGCTAACATTTATTGACCATTCTGTTAGTCTCTTTTATCATTTCCATTGAAATAATCCAAGCTCACTGCTACATTATTCCTCCAAAACATTAATTAAAATATGTTGTACTCCTGTTCAAGCATCTACAATAATTCCCTTCATTGTAGAGAGATCCCAGCTTCCATTCTGTTATTTAAGACCATCATCTTTCACCTGCTCATGTCTTGAAGGCAAAGCCTTTTAGCTGATGGAATTGGACTAGTATTTAATTAAACTAAAAAGTCAGTTAAAAGGAAGGAATTATTATTATTTTTTTTTAAATCACACTTGGAAATGTGAAGTTTTAAACGTAAAACTGAACAATGTATGTCCTACTTCTTTGGTGAAAGCTTTTGTGAGCCCACTGACTAGAGCTCATGTCTTCATTTGTGTACTAACTATCTTATTACATCACAGCAGTTAAGAGCAAGACTGGCTGACCTCCACCACTTTGAAGACTATAACCTTGGGTAACCTAATTCTTTGCCCTAGTTTCCATCATCTATAAGATGGGGATGGTAATAGTATTAACCCAAGTTACTAGAAAGATCAAATAAGTTTCATATATGTGAAGTGCTTAGACTAATTCCCAGGACATATTAAGTGTTTAATTACCAGCATCAATTATTATTAATATATGTAGTATTACTATTTCCCGTTTTTTAATTGGAACAAAAAATTAAAAATACTTACAAATATAAATGAGTGTCAGTTTCTGAATTTGTATGATTTATACCTCCTGACCTCACCCCAATCTGTTAAAATTGTCTTGCATCTACCTAATTTGACAGTGATTGTTTGTATGGTATCTTTCCATTTAGATTTTATAGAACAACTATTACTTTTTAAATCCTATTTCATCATTTAATTATTTAAGTTAAATAATTAGAATAACTAACACAAATGGAATAAACATGTTTTGGGGGGGAGAAAAACCTAAGGGACTGTTAGTAAACCTATAGTTTAAATGGTGGGAACAGAAATGTGGGAGTACAAAAATTAATCTTGGCTCCAGTGTTCATTATTCCCTAAGTATCAATTGGTTATGTTTCCCAGAGAGGATGGAGAACTTGAATTAGTTGAGATAAATGAATTGAGTAGTATCATTTAAGATGAGTCCATCCTGCTGAAGAAAGGGCACAGTATATACAACATCCATTCCCACCTCTACCATTGTTTATCATATATATTTCCTTGTACATAAGGATATCTCTTTGTGACTTAGTTTCCTATAGCCCATAATTCTTTGTCATGGTTCTATTTTCTATGGCTCACTCCTACCTCCAGCACACACAGTTTAAAAATCTGTGATAGCAAATGTAAATTGGAATCAAATAAATACCTACCACATTTTTACATATTAATAATTTTTAATATGATGGTTCGTTACATACGCTAATTTTATAGTAAGCCAATCCAAACAGTTTACATAGAATGTCAGAACTTACTTAAAAAGATTATTTCTGCAGCTATCATAGCTATTAGATGACTCTTTACAATAATAACTCGACCTTGGGAAACAGTATTATTCTTGTGTAACTTTGTAAGGTAAGAGGTTCAAGAGAACCCAGCTAAGCTTTAAATGTCCCACCTCTTTCTGCTTCAGTATTTGCATTTTATACCAGACATGCCTGTTATAAATAAACAATTCACACTTAGTACAGCAAGTTCTTAATCATAATGAATTCCACTTTGGTACCTCTCTTTGTAATTGGAATTAACATTTCCACATGAACTGGGAAATGCTAAATTGTTACCAGCATCCCTGGTGTTTTGTTGCTTCTCATAATGCTTTCAATGATTTCATCATATGCCACCTAAAATATCACAATTTGTG